ACAACAATTGATAAATCATAATATACCATTAAGAGAAGGTAATAGGAAATATGAGAGGTGAGAAATATGAGAAGATGAAAAGATGACAAGGATAATAGCAATACAGCCTACTATCTAAACAACTAGACCCAAAGAAAGTTTCTTTGGGTCTAGTTGTTTAGATAGTAGGCTGTATTGCTATTATCCTTGTCATCTTTTCATCTTCTCATATTTCTCACCTCTCATATTTCCTATTACCTTCTCTTAATGGTATATTATGATTTATCAATTGTTGTTTGTATCTTATGATTTATGTTGTTTGTATGTACGCTGAGAGTTTATGTACTGGACACTATTCCTTGTGTGTCCAATCAAACTTGGCCAATGAAGAATTCTATTCTATTCTATTCTGTTCTGTCGTTTTCTGTTCTGTTCTGTGTTGTTCTGTTCTGTAACTCAAAGCCTGATTCCATAAGTGGATGTTCTGTGAGGCCAAAATTAAAAGGATTAACTTCAGTGCCTTTGTGTGGGGGCTAAAGAACACCTCTTTGAGGTGTTTTTGAGATATTGAGGCATGTATCAAACAGAGCTGAACAAATCAAAAATGGACCTGCCCCTAAATGAAAAGATTTTCCAAAATTCTCTGTGCAATCTTGATACTCTTGGAACTTTTTCTTGAAAGATGATGAAGGCAGAAGGAAAAGCTTAAGCAAAATTGTTCCCTTTTGGAAGTAGGCTATTAATCTGAACTGTGAGGCAAAATTGCCTTCTCCTATATTCACTTATCTAAGGTCTTTCTTTAAAAAAAAACCTGTCCTAGTTGAAAGTAACAAGGACTTTTAGGGGAAAAATGTGTTTTAATGTCAAATGAAATATTTTGTTCTCTGGGAACTCTTAAAGCTCATGATTTTATTTAGAAAGTTGTTTTAGAACTTTTGACCACTGTTTCATTGATAGGGCTGCAATTAAGTAGTAATTCAGAATTTAGTTATAGGGTTTCCCCTTCAGATCCCCTTTTTCTCTCCTCCCATCACCAGCAATCCAGTTGCTAAAGAGATCCCTAGAATGATACAGTAAATTTACATTACTGAAAACTACCTCAGCATTATTAGGATATTTTTTTAACTTTCTTTTGCTTATTTGGACATTCTGTAATCAGGCTCAGAATCAAAATTCAGGAGGCACTTAAAGGAAGCCAGATGCCAACAGTTAAAGACTTCCGAAGATTTTCACGCAATTATCAAGTTTCCAAGATGGTGACTGTCCCATGGTCTGCGGATCCTTTCAGAGCAAAATTGGAAGGAAATCTGATATTTGACTCAAGCAACTATATAGCTAAGGAAACCATGCTGAAAACAACATTAGAAATATTTGGACTGAAACCTCTGGATATATTTGAGGTACAACAGCTTTTAAATGCTTTCTTCTTCTTTCTCCCTGTTTATTTTTTTTTCTACCCTTTACTAATATTGTTATCAAAGTATTGCGTTATTTACCATTTTATTCAAATACTGTGCCGGAACTCAAAACAGAATATAGTTTTAAAAGTCAATTCTATATAAAATTGCATCCAGCAGACATGCAATTTGAACTGCCAAACTGCAGCTAGCAGTCAGCCGGAGTAGCCTGCAGTACTGCACTCTAACCACTGCACCACCTCAGCTCTTAAGAATAAAATGGTAAANCTTAGAGAGGCCTGAAAGGCCTATGAAGCGGTATATAAGTCTACTGCTATTGCTAAAAAAAAAAACCTGTTCCTTCCCATTCCTAGCCCATTGCCTTAACCACAGCCCCATGGTGGCTTTTTCTTTATGCCAGTCCTTGGAATTTGAGGGGCAGTGATTACTTAGAATGTTTTAGTTGAGGCCCACTTTTTCTTCAAATCATTCCAGGCTTCCAGAATGCAGCTTTATCTCTTCTTCTTCTCCTAAATGTGACGGTTGTGGTTTCTGGACTACTAAAACTAAAAGTCCAAGAATTCAGGATTGTTGAAATGACATTTCCAAGTATCTAGATCAGGGGTTGGCAACTTTGTACACTCGAAGAGCCATTTGGACCCATTTCCCACAGGAAAGAAAACACCGGGAGCCACAAAACCCTTTTGACGTCTAAAATGAAGATAGCACTGTAGTGTTGGCCAATTTCTCCCCACATATTAAGCATACTGGTAAATCAGTCTCCTCCGCAGTGAAACAATTGAATCTGCCCACATAACATTAAATGTTTTCTTCTAAAACTTTTCTGGATTTATCCATGGTTGGCCTACCGGGGGTCGAAAAGCTCAATAAATCGTGTGCCAGTGTCACTCATTGGTGGTTATGACACATAGTTTGAGCGACAGGGAGCCGCATCAGAGAGAGAAAAAAGCCACATGCAGCTCCAGAGCCACAGATTGCTGACCCCTGATCTAGATAGTATTAGGTTGAAAGCGATATACGGTCATCAAATTCCTTCCTTATTTCCTTCCTTCCTTCCCTCGCTTCCTCCCTCCCTTCCTTTTACCTCAAAATCCATATTCCTTTTTTCTTTTACCTCAAAATCAATCTTCGTTCTTTCTTTTACCTCAAAATCAATCTTCCTTCCTTGCTTCCTCATCAAAATCCTCCTCCTTTCCTCTCTCCCTGTTTCAGGTCCAAAGTGAATCTGAAGAAAGCAGATCGTCCTATTCAATTAATACCGTGCTGGTCAATGGACAGGAAAAGCATTTAATTGTAAGTGCGATCTATTAATGCATTTTTTTTTAAAAAAAATCCCTGATGCATCGGATGGGTGAACCAGTGTTTAGTTCAGAAAGAACCTGAATCTGCTCTGCATTTCTCTGCAGCTGCACGAGATTGAGGCCTGTGTGGAATTTGCAAAAACCTCCGACATAACGTGTGATGTTGCCTGCTTCTTGTATGACGTGACAGACTTCAAGTCTTTTAATTACTGTGCTAATATTTATAAGGTGAGTTTTTCTACTTGGCTGGCTTCAGAAGCAGGAGGTCTCCAAAGTCTGATGCTAAAATTTAATTAATTTTTAAGTTTTCTTGCCTCTTTTAAATTTTCTCTACTGTTTTTATGCTTCTAGGTTTTTTTTTATTATATAGCCCTCAGGGTCCTTTCCTGAGGATGATTGACGTTTCTTACGTATGATATAGATGGATAGATTGGATGGATGGATAACTATAGATAGAAATGGATGGATGGACGGATGGGCAGGCGGATAGATGGATAGCTATATATCTCTGATATATAGATAGATATTAGTGATAGATGGATACTAGATAATAGATTGTAGATATAAGAGCTTGAATGTGTGTGTAGATAGATATGATAGATGAGAGAGAGAGAGATGGATGGATGGATGGATGGATAGAAGGATGGATGGATAGAAGGATGGATGGATAGAAGGATGGATGGATTGATGGATAGAGGGAGAGGGAGATGAGAGGGTGACAGCTCTTTGATATTATCCTTTTTCATCCTTTCTCCTCCACTCCATCCATGGAACTTTATTGCTGTTACCTGCATATTTAATTTGGAAATGAAAACATTAACCAAGAGTTTCCATGTAGAAAAGATGCTGTCAAGCAAAAGGAAATGTTTTAGAAAAGTCAGTCATTGTCCGAGGCTTCTTCCTAACCGAAGCCACAGTCCAAATCTTCTTTAGCTGTTTTCACTGCTGCGTTCACTGCTGCACTTTTTAATTTGGCTTTCGAAAGTAATCCTTACATTAGTGTTTCTCAACCTTGGCAACTTGAAGATGTCTGGACTTCAACTCCCAGCGAATTCCCCAGCGAATGCTGGCTGGGGAATTCTGGGAGTTGAAGTCTGGACATCTTCAAGTTGCCAAGGTTGAGAAACACTGTCTTACATTACCCCGACTCCTTTGTCTTAACAATTTCTAGTCCTATTACTCTTTTTTAGTTAACATTCCTTGGGTGTTTCCTTTTAATCTCTTTTCATCTTCCCCATCTATAGTTAATCTTAGTTTTGTGATTTGCTTTGGGTTGATTGATGACTGCAATAAGGATTGGGGGAGGGGGTTGTTGATATTTAAAGGATTGCTTAATAAATAAACATCAAAAATGGAAATTTGACTTCAACGGCTCATCCCAGAGTTCTTCTCCAAAATGTTTTTGCTACAAGTTTGATTCCCTCTCCTAAAACTAACCCAACTAACAACGGACAACCTTAAATAGGATTTGAACCTCAAACAGCGTTCACTGTATAAATGGGGCATAGTAGCCTCCCCTCAGTGCGACTATGGGGGCCCACATCAAGCTGTAGACCACATCCTGAACCAGTGTTGTGGCCTGCCAGCGGATCTAGCAGCAGATCTTCAGACAGTTTACAGAATCAACTTCTTGCCCCCAACAATCTGGGTCCTCATTTAACCGACCTCGGAAGGATGAAAGGCTGAGTCAACCTGGATCCTAGTGAGATTTGAACTGCCAAATTTCAGGCAACCAGCAGTCAGCAGAAGCAGCCTGCAGTACTGCACTCTAACCACTGCGCCACCATGGCTCTATTATCCACTGTGTTACTAACATAACAATTGCAATGATTCACTTAAACCACTGCAGCAAGAAAAGTCATAAAATGGGGGAAAACTCACTTAATAAACATTTCACTTAGCAGCAGTGGTCGTAAGTCAATGACTACCTGTATGATAGGCTGTGCAATCAATAATTACCAATCAATACAAACAAATCAATACACCTGCTGACGAAACAATAATTAGAAAGGTATTCGAATGTGCAGAGATGGACAAAATGACCATGGAGTTAAATGAAAGAGAAGAATCAGATTTTTAGAAAATATGGAATATTTATAAGTAGCTAGAAAACAGAAGCCAAAACAGGAAAGAGGTCTTTTTTCCCCCTAAACTAGTATTAAATAAAAATTAACCAAAGTTACTGATTACTATCCAACTCAAAAGTATTGACGACAATGTAAATATAATGGTGATATGAACAATTAATATTATTACAATTGTTAGTACAACTGGTATTACACTATTACAGAGGTTAAAACCGATAGGAAGGTGTTGTGGCCCAGCAGGAGCCGTTGGAGCTGCCGCCAGACTCCGATAGCAAGGGGTCTTATGAGTCGGCTCTGGAGGAGGTGGAGGACCCTGGACAGGGTTCCGACTCCGAGCAGGGCGAGGAGAGACTGGTTGG